AGAGGATACAGAGTGACAAGAACCTCCTGGACCAACCTGACTCTCCTTTAGAGGTGAGTCCAATCTTACACTAAATGTATAGACTTTTTTTTTTTCAGTAAATGAAAACAACTTAAATGAAATGTTTTTATTTTTGCTATTGTTAGATGTAACTTGGACCCTCCACAATGTTCTTCCAATCTCATGTATTACATGGGATGTGAATGACAATAAATAACCTTGAACTTTAACTTGAGAAGCAGCGTCCTAAATATGATGACTGAAAACATCTGTCCAAACCTGGTTTAGTTTCCCCGAGGCAATGGGACCATATATTTGAACAAGATGGAGTTCTGTTTTACCAGGTTTTTATCTCCTGTGGTGCAGAGTGAGCACTTCAGGTGGTGTTGTCTACTGTTTTGAAGGAACAATTGCTCAGTGAGGTCCCTCAGAAACTTGAACACCAAGGTGTTGAGAGGACATTGGAGTTGCTCATAAACTGATTTTATTGACCATGTCAGTTGATGTGGTAGATTGGTGTCAGATTTTTAAAAGTTGTCATGCTGCTATGGACTCCCCACATGTGGATTGTGATCACGTGGGAAATATATTAGCATTACGACCAAATGGAATTCTTGGACTACATTATGCTAGAACCTTCCTCTAATGATCTGGAAAATGTCCTGGTTATTACTTATGTTTTTAGTAGGTATATACTAGCTGTTAACTCCCGAGAGTGATGTGTTACAGTGTTTTAACTTTGGCTGCACTCATTCTATCTTTATTTGAAATGTTGCTGTTTGTGTGCCTTGGTTTGTTTCAGGACCAAGGACAGCATTATGGTTATGTTGGGAAGAAGCACTTTGAAAATGAATCATGAGGTGTCTGTGTCACAATGTTTGATTTCTCTGGTGGGTGTTTTATGTATGTTGTTGTTGTTGGTTGTTGTTGTTGTTCATGGATTGTAACTAATGATGTTATAATTCATGATCCTGAACTCTTTTTACATCTGTAAAGGAAATATTTCCTAAACAGAATACCATCACCTTTTTTGCTGCCTATAAATCTTTGTACATAGTTTAAACTAGATTTTTTTTAAATTAATATCGCCTATAAGTGTTCTTTTTGAAGACTATCAGAAAATATTTTGTGGTCATTGTTACTTTAGTTAGCAATAACAACTTTCATTAGTATGAGTATTTTAAATTTTGTCTGGATTTACTGTAATTACCACAGTTTACACTTTCACAATAATGCTATGTATAGTGATTTTACTAAGAAGGAAATCAATATTTAAGTAAATGGTCAAAAAAAAGGTTTATATTCTTTAAAAAAAAAAAACGTTATATTTGCTGTGAAAGTGGAATTGTCTTAATAATTTGATTGTCCGTTTTGATGAAGACACACTAGGTTAGTTTGTTGTTTCATCATTGATGCAGGGAACATAAATACAATTTATGTCAGTTTATGATTTCATGTAAAAATGTGTGCGTGCGTGTGTGAGTGCGTGTGTCTGTAAAAAATAGGTATTTTTTGTCCTTGAAGACTGCATGATAATGTCACATTTTGTAAAATATAATACTGACTTAGAATTGAAATTCGTGGCAATTTATTGAACAGGTGAACTTATCTGTTTGTCTTTTTTGTTTTGTAAGGATATTTAGAAACAGTTGTTTTCAATTAGCTTAAAACAGTTCAGTTATTTTTTTAAGCAACTGTACACTTATGTTCTTATTTCTGGACTCTAAGGGACGCTGTTGGTTAACACACGGAGTTTAGGACTCATCTCCACCCGTACCCTCCCTGTATGTAGTTATATGTCAGTGAAGCAGAGACAGCTTTGTTTCCACACGGCGCATGAAAGGAAAGGATAAATCTGAAAAGACACAGAGGGATATTACTGAGATTGAGCATATCCTGTGGAATATATTGTATTTTATTTTTATTTTTTGTATTTGTTCATTTTTCGGAACACCTTATAGTTTGTTTTAGAGGAAAATTTATTCTCATCATGTTGTGTGGAGACCGAGCGCACCCTGGACGGGTAAAATGGCGATTTGGCTGCGGACAGATTTTTTTTCTCTTTAATTTTCTTTGTTGTTTCACTGGTTTTGTCTCCGGACACATCAGATATTCAATCCCAGAGGAGATGAAGAGAGGCTCTCTGATCGGGAATGTAGCGCAGGACCTGGGCTTGGATCTGAACAGGCTCCGTTCTGGTCGGGCCCGCATCGTGAGCGGAGAAAACATCCAGTACACCGAGCTGAAGGCAGACAAAGGGACCTTAGTGGTGAAGGAGAGAATCGACCGAGAGCAGCTTTGCGGCGACACAACACCGTGCAGCTTCAGCTTTGAGGTGATTTTAGAAAATCCCATGGAGCTGCATCAAATCACTGTCGAGATTACAGACATTAATGATCATTCTCCGACGTTTAAACAAGCTGAAATAGATTTTGAAATTAGTGAATCAGCTGTTACCGGCGCTCGTTTTCCACTTGCGCCTGCAGAAGATTTAGATGTGGGTGTGAACAAATTGAGAGAATATTTCCTGACCGACAATGATCATTTTGTCCTTAAACAACATTCAAACGCAGATGGAAAGAAAGACGCAGAGATGGTTCTCCAGAAGCCTTTAGACCGAGAAACAAACCCTCATCTGTCTTTAAAGCTGATAGCTGTGGACGGAGGGACTCCTCAGAGATCTGGTACAGTAAATATTGACGTCACTGTTCTTGATGCTAATGATAATGCTCCGTTATTTAATCAATCAGTTTATAAAGCTGCAGTGACAGAGAATTCTCCCAAGGGCTCTTACGTCACAACTGTTAACGCTACTGACGCAGACTCCGGATCAAACAGTATGATAACTTATTATTTATCAAAACATAATACTGCACCTGATGGTTTGTTCGAAATTAATGAACAGTCTGGAGTAATTTTACTCAAAGATGATCTAGATTATGAAAAAGATAAAAAGTTTGAACTCCAGGTTCATGCAAAAGATCAAGGAGGTTTAACAGATTCCAGTAAAGTGATTATTGAAGTAAGTGATGTGAATGATAACTCTCCTGTCATCAGTGTCATGTCCTTCACTAGTCCTGTGTCAGAGGACTCTCCTCCTGGGACAACTATCGGCATCATTAATGTCAAAGACCTCGATTCAGGTGAGAACGGACACGTTTCCTGTAAAATAGAAAAAACCGCACCTTTCAAAATAAAATCCAATTTAAGACATTATTACACTTTAGTGACAGATTCTGCATTAGACCGTGAAAGTGTTTCAGAATATAACATCACTGTTGTTGCTACAGACGGTGGAGTCCCTCCTCTCTCAGCTACAAGAACTTTTAATTTGAAGGTGTCAGATGTGAATGATAATGCTCCGTTTTTTCCACAAAGTGTTTACAGCGCGTTTCTATCAGAAAATAACTCTCCGGGTATTTCTGTTCTCACATTGAGAGCTAATGATCCAGATGAAAACCAAAATGCTCGAATATCTTATATTTTAGAGGACAGTAACATCGCTGGATCCAAGATTTCTGAATATGTTTCTGTAAATGTAGAAACTGGAGT